ATATTTAATGCTAAAGTTATAAGAATACCACGTGGATATAACAAAAGTGCATAAGAAGAACCTGTTGGATGCGTCAATCTGCTCAAAATTTCTTGTTCATAATGTGGGAGATCTGAATTCCCATCAACTTTAATAGCATATTCCACAGTCTCATTGCGAGCCATTCTGCCCTTCTGACACGGGTTTATGGTACACACTGTAATTTATTTGCAGCTTTAAATAATTATAACTTCAAATCTAATGCTAAACATTTATTGTTTTACTTTCTGGTATGAAACAAATAACAAACAATACTATACACGGATAATTTATCCTTATCCTAGAATATACGTGATAAAAATTTGCCGTTTTTATTGGTCGATACATTGAAATCAAGGCCGACCCCGGACCATTCCAAAGATGTTGTCCAAATATCTACACAATTAAATTATTGTCCAAAATTGTCCAAGGGCCAACCTTGATTGAAATCTATCATCTGATTTTTGGTGTAATATCCACTTGTAGATCAGCAATTATTGACCAAATGGCAACTTTTCGATAAGAATGAACAAGAGGCAGAAGCGCAGCTGTTGAAGGCAGAGGACGAATTGAAGGCCTTCAGGGAAGGGAGATACGGACAGAGGCTGACAGAGTTGACAAAGAGGCTGTGGAGAGGAGAAGGAACTGAAGCGCAGCTGTTGAAGGCAGAGAACGAATTGAAGGCGTTCAGGGAAGGGAGATACGGACAGAGGCTGACAGAGTTGACAAAGAGGCTGCGGAGAGGAGAAGGAACTGCGGCGCAGCAGCAAAGGTGGGAGAGGGAGAAGGACGAGCTGGCTGCGGAGAAGAGAGGTGGGAAAAGGATGTACTTGATTGGGGGAAGAAGTTACGTGAGATGGACACTCAGCCAGGTAACGACTTTGTGACTCGGGCGTTGGGGACATAGAGTAGTGTGTGCGTAAGGTAGAGTAGACATAATAATATGGGTTGTAATATATCTTTCTCATATCACAAATTTCTCGGAGAATGTTACTGTAGCTGGGGTTAACTTCTTTCATTCGTAATGCTGGACCAACTTATTCAATTCAGTCATTTGGGGGGGGGGGGGCTTATAATCTTGCAATATTCTATTGTGGTATTGATTAACTTCGTATTTTTTTCTTCTTTCATATTAACATCCTGACCTTCATATATCAAGAAGGTAAGATGACATACGCTGCAAGAAACAATAACTGTTTATCTTTTAACAGCTACAAAAGTTATAAATTTGATCTCACGTTGGAAATGTGATACAATCTTTTGACAATTACTTTCTTCTTATTCTCCCTGATATTAAGAAAACGTCGCACTCAAGCGTCGGATTTCATATGTTGAACATGAGCTAGAACGTCTGAAGAAATCTCGGAATGACAATGCTCACATTGGTACACGAATTCTGGAAGACCCGGAAACGCTTAATGAAGAAGCAGTTTTCGATGGAATACCTTGGATGGAGATACCTTCATTCACGATTAAGATGCCGCCTGGTGATGATGAAAGAAGTCACACAAATGAAATAAAGTTTTTAGAATGTCTCATTCCATCAACTGAATTTGACTTTCATGACACCCGCAACTCCCCAATCTGTGACCCTAATGCAAAGGTCAACTTAATATTGTGCGCAAGGATGGGTATCTTTTATGGACAGAATCGGTAACAGTGATAGAAGGGAAAGGAAACATTCAAAACACGACAAGTCACAAAGATGCAATGAGTCAAGTCTGTGATAGACACATGGAAATTTTGAAGCAGCAACGTTTAAGAAATTTTGTTTTTGGCATTGTTCTGGATTGCCGATGTGTAGAAATTATACAGTTTGAAGTAGCGCGCCGGCATTTTTACATTACAGAACTGGACGCCTTCCACTATTTGCTCCTAATGGAACACCAGGTGGGAAAGGATATATCCATTTGGTCAGATTATTGAAATCATCTTCAGCCCGTTTAGAATTTACACCATGTTTAACTCTAAACTCCCCTTACGGTTTACAAAGGATGGACAAAATGTGAGGATAGATAAGGCAATAATTTTAAAGGAAGGGTATGGTAATTATCCTTCTATCTGGCTCGGAATTAGACGAAAGGTAGAATGGCTCGCAATGAGACTGTGGAATTGCTATTAAAATTGATGGGAGTTCAGATCTCCTACATCATGAACAAGAAATTTTGAGCAGATTGACGCATCCACGTATAATTAAATTACATGGCGTTAATTTAGTTATGTCAATAGGTGCTTCTTATGCACTTCCGTTATATCCACGTGGTATTCTTATAACTTCAG